GCCGCACCTCCACATAGGAACCAGAGAAGGGACACACCACTGCTTCCAAGAGCCACTTGAGGTAAGTGTAGCTCAGAGCCTGCATCCCTGAGCCTCTCCCCACACCCCAACCCCCTACTCCAGCCTTGATCCCCCACCCACTCTCCAAACCCCTCAATCCCAGCCCAGAGCACCCTCCCCCATCCCAAACCTCTCATCCCCAGTCTCACCCCAGAGCCTGCAACCCCAACCAGAACCTGCATACCTTCCCACACCCCTGATCCCCCTCCCAGCCCGGAGCACCCTCCTGCACCCCAAACCTCTCATCCCCAGCCCCACCCCAGAGCCCGCACCCCAAACCCAATTTTGTGAGCGTTGATGATCCACCATACAATTTCTATTCCCCAAGGTGGCCCTCGGGCCAAAAAGTTTGCCCACCCCGATCTAGCTTCTTATGGAGCTTGTTCACAGGCTGCTCTGCATTGCTTCTTCTAATGGTTGTCCAAAATACACCTTGGCCCCCTAGCACAGGCACAGCCTGTGAGGTTCATTCCCTCGGTCAATTCCTAATCAGACCTGCTTGCATTAGTAGCCACCCCCCGCCACTTCTCTGAAGGGAACAATTTTTGTTTTATGCACTTTCAGCTTGCTGGCCTCGCTTGTTATTGTCCAGTTCAAAGCCAGGATCCAGGTGGTAAATGGGAAGGAAAAGTTGTCATAGGGGAGCAGTGACCCCGCAGACTCCCCATCCCTATTGTTTGCCAAGAGATGCCAGGGGTCTCCTAACACAAGTTCCTGACTTGTTTTAGCAACTCTTCACCCAAGGCCCTTGCATTCTGCTCCTTTTCTAAACCAGCCACGCAAGTCAGGGAAAGGAAATCCCTGTAGTATAGGACCCTAAGCTTTGAGCCATGATTATGTCCCACTCCAAGAACACTACCCTTAAAAATAGTAAATGTGACACTTTAATGTGGATAAAAGAGACCACGCAGCAAACACTGTAGTGCAGATCTGGCTGCTGTGTCTGAGGAACCACTCGTAGAGTTTAGTCTCCATGCTATGTATGTAGTTTTTGGTTACTTAACTCCTTAGCAGTGGTTTTAAACAAACATGCTGCACAATTCCGGTCTCCAGAAGTTTTATTGTGGGCTGCAGGTCAAGAAGGGTTGTACTTAAACTTCAAGCTAATTAAACCCTCAAAGCACACACAGTAACACAGAGCCCCATATGTTCTTTGGCATCTCCTGCCCATTTCAGGGTAAGGTGTGCCAAGGAGCTTACATCCCAGTGGGAGACCGGACCAGCCTGCTTTTCCAGTCCACAGTGGACTTGGTGTTGATGCTGCATGGAAGCCCTGTTTGGCTCTGCTCTCTGAGCTAACACCCTGGCCTATGAGATCATTCCCCCGTCTGAGCTTAAGGACAAGCCAGAGCGCTATTCAGTGGGTTTACATGGTGCCACACAGAAGATCTTCCTATAGTTACTGCAGCTACACAGCCCTATATCTTGAGGCCTTTAGTATGTTTGGGGAAATTGATTAGCTTGTGAATCGCAGTAGAAGGAAGGATCCCATCTGCAAGTGGGAATAAGTCCCAAATACAGTACAGATGTGTTATTTTCAGCGATTTATAAAAGATGGTTCCCCATAACAACTAGCCACCTTTTTAAAGCAAGGATGCCAAGTTGTCTGGTCACCAGAGGCCAATATTGAATATGAGCTTGGATCCTTCAGTATCATCTTAGGCCAAGGCAAAAACTGAACAGGTAAACTTCCTGCACATCTATCTTCAGGAAAGTAGGCAATTTGCCACCAGCAGGTAAGAGTCAGGTCTCCCTTTCTGCAGCAGCAGCTCCCACTTCCCCATCTGAAAGAAGAGCCAGGAATATATAACTAAGTAAATCCCAAGACACTCTTGGGAGGGGACCAACACAGTGAGAATCTCCAGTCTAACTTGTGACTACACGATCAGAATTGCACACTGACCAGAATGAATACAGGCGTAGCTGAACCAATGAAGAACAGTCTACACTTGTATTTGCACAAGGACAAGCCTCATTCAGCACCCGTTCAGAAATTCCCATTGACCAAAGAGGGCTTTAGAGACAGACATTCGCCAGCCCTGTCACTGCAGACTAGTCTCCTGCACTAGAAAGATGTTGCTGTATGGGGAAGTACAGTCATCTCCCCTCTAAATTCCTTCCCAGTTTTCCATGGACTATGCTGGACCCAGCTGAGGATATCCAGATAGGGAGCGTTCATACTGAAAGCAACAGTAACTTTTTAAATGTAATGTTCATGGAACGTACTCGACAGCTAGAGTGAAATCCAGACCCGACTGAAGAGAGAGAGTTTTGCTATCAACATCCATGGGAGTGGAATTTCACCCTCTTGATGGCTGGTCCTGTTTATCAGGTGCAGAACAGGCAGCAGCCGCCGTCACTGCCTCCTATATCGCACCACTAATATGCTTCAGGGACCCTTCTGTAATACTTACGATGTCCAGGCAGATACAATCCTTGGCTTGTACCAAGGCTGCCAATGTGTGCCTGAACTGAAGCCACATGAGTTCACTGTACAGCTGTCAGATGGTGGCTTTCATGTCCAGCCTATGCTGGCACTGAACAGACGTCATCTCGAGGTGAAAGGATATTTCTATTTCTGATTACCTACTCACGCAGGCCTCCACACACCTAGTGGAAACAACAAAGGAGGTTTGCTTGTCTCAGTATATTCTCTCAATAAACCAGGAGATACTTACCATTTCTGCTTAAGGTATGATTCACAAGATATGCTTGAAGCGTAACATTGCTAAGAGTTATGGTCACATTCAACATATTAATCTGGTTGGTACTGAAACATCTATATCTTGTGTCCAAGTCTGCCCGAATATTAGGTTTTTGTGAAACCTCCTTTGTTTCTGTAACAAAAAATTTACAGTTGTGCGACGATTAGTATGTCTCCAGACAACACGGTACAGAAAAATAAAAAAGTGCTATTCCACATGTATAACAACAGAAAGCCAAGAAAATTTTTACTTCACCTCCAGTTGAGTTGGGGAACACCGTTGTATCGGACAAATTGTAAAGGAACATTAGCTTGTCAACGCTGTACAGCTTTGAAGCCTTTGTGAAATTCATTTGTAACAAATGTCCCGCTCCAAATCCAATCGCCAGTACAGGAGCCGATACATTCTCTTTACCACAACTGCTTTTGTTTGCCAGTACTTCAGCATTTTGTGTAAGTGTGAAATTTGCTGCCAACTAAAGTGGGTAAAATCGAGAGTTTTAAATGGGATTAGTAAATGCCTTCCCTACTGTTACTTTTCAGCTATCCTATGCAATTACTCCAGCGCTCACAGCCGGAGTCCATTACCACAGGGTGAACATTCTCAGCATTCAAGTACTTAACCCTCAAAAAATACTTTAGTGTTTGAGGTTTAAAATTTTTTGAATAGCATTTTGCTCCACGAACAATTAAGGAAACAACCCTCCCTTGCCCCCAATCTCCTCCACACTAGCACCATGAGTCGGATTGTACCCAACTTCCTGAACTAAAGAAGCAGAGGTACAGGAACTCAGTGGAAGTTTGGAGAATTTAAGCTTTGTTCTCTGGTGTTTTAAGACCTCTGGGTAACAAGGACTAAATTAAGCAGTACAGCCTGCACAACTCTTGCTGGTCTATGATTCTTACTAATCTTATTTTACTTAACTTCTGAAAAGGAGCAATAGGAGGAGCTATGACAAGGTTTTACATCGGCACTGAAGGCAAAAGCGAACACTGGGAAGTTAACAAGCTGTACTAATATTTCTCAACCTTTTTTGATACCAGGGGCTGGCTTGCTGCCTTCTTAAACGGTCAGGGAGATCTTAGGGCCTGGTGCCAATCCATGGACCAGTCATTGAGTAACACCGTGTAGTTGATCTTTTATAAGGACCAGTTGGCTTGAGTTAAGAAAGCAGCTTCCTTTGAATGTTAGTGTATGCCAGACTTAACCCGGGTGCAATTTTGAAATAGTTCAGAATGTTAGGGCCCTCCACAGCTCACTCCTCATACATGCCATAAAGGGGAATCTTGCTAGGCCAGAGCTTGACATTCGAAAGTACTGTCTACTAATAAGGCATGAAGCTCGAGAGATTACAGATTGATAGGGAAGCTAGCTGCTCAAAAGGGCACTTATACACATGTATAAGCAGACATTTGGCTCCATCTTGTCTGTGCTCACCACTTCCCTAGAATATAATGAAACTTGTAAGGAAGAGCATTCGCACAACAGGAAGTCATCTCCAGTTTTACTTTCATTCTCTCTTCTGTTTCTTTCAACCATATCGCACAATCCAGTAATTTCTGCCCATTGTGCAGTTCTCTCTTCCCTTACTAGGGATGTCATTTTGCATTCCTCCTCAAAGTGTATGCCTAGAGATTTATCTACTCTCACCTTTTAACTCTTTTCCAGACTGATTAAGTGGCAACCAACAGGCAGCCCAAACATAGACATCCTGCCAATCAGCATAAGGATTCCCTTTTAGTTTTCAGTGCTGAAGTATACAGCACTTCCCAGTTCTCTTCTCTCTCCTGTGGCATGTGCAATTTATTCAATTGAATGATTGAGAAAGATTTTTAGCATGATTCCTAGCCTTAGGATATTCAGTGAATTTGGGGCGATATCCTGGAAGGCAAGTAGAGAAGGGCAGACAAGATCTTACCCATTATACACCTCTACAACTTGCAACAGCAGTACCAAGGATTACAACTTTAACTGCCGTGGTTTTAAAAGATGTTGTGTTTAAAATGGACTTGGATTTAATGGACTATTTATTGCTATGGAGATTTTATTAGACTGTTTTCTCTATAAAAATTAAATAATTCAAGATCTGAACTTCTATATATCACTTTATCTGGCATGATCATTGCAGCACCTTAGGAATAATTATTTTGTTAGTGTAAAATCTGGATCAAGTCAAGTGAAGCACAAAGTAACAGCAGTTCATTTGTAGACAAGTTAACTATCTTTCAATTCTAGAACTAAAGCAACATTTCAAATAAAGTACACTGGAATGTATGAAGAACGTGGACAACAGACTTTGAACCAACAAACTCCTCACTGAGACTGCTGAAGACTTTTTTGTAGAAGTCATGCAAAAAGGTTTTAAATTGCTAAAGCTACCTACTCTCAGCTTTAGGGATGGTATATTTATGAGACAGATATGAACTAAGCTAAGGTATAGTATGCTCGAAGGTGAGTGTTCCAAGTTTCAGAAGAAGGGAAGCAAAACAATCTTACAGAAACACAGTTTGCAGCTGCTTCTGAAGAGCTCTTCATTTCAACTGAAATAAGCAGATTCAATTGGCAGCGCTGTACTGAAACTGGCATAATGCAGACAATGCAGTGTTATAGATGTTGCTTTATATATGGAAAAAACTGGCTTGGGCAATAGTTCCTTTCCTCTGTAAAATGCTTTGAGAGCTCCTAAGATATAAGGGCTAAAGTAGGTATCATCCCCATTTTACGGATGAGGACACTAAGGCACAGAGGCAAAAATTATTTGAAGGCCACAGCAGATCAGTAGCAGAGCAGAGCCAATAGAACCCAGGTCTGAACTCCCCACCCAGTGCCCTGTCCACTGGACCTAGGGCTGTCACCTCTGAGATACAAAAAACAGACATCCGGGATGATCCTGAGCCCCTAAGACTAGACAGCTTGCAGTGTACACTGAGCATCTTTACAGATTTCCTGGGACGGATACCAAAAAAGGGACAATGCTGGGAAAACCTGGCTAGGTGGTAACTCTAGCTGTATCATGCGGTCTCCAAAGGAAGACCACCACCACATCTGAACACTAAAAGCAGTAGAAATTAAAATATTCAAATGGGTATTTAATGAGCACATATCATTTGTTGACCTAATAACTGAGCTACAAACTGGATAGGCAAACCTAACAGCTTCAGCAATTGCCCCAATACACTGGAGCTCTCATAAAAAAAAAGAAACAAACAGACTCAAGTAGAGTCCAGCTATACAACTGGCAGACAGACATCTAGAGAATTCTCCTGAAGCGGTCCATAGGATCTAAAATTTTTCTTGGCATAACAGTGGATTAAGTGCATACACAAAGCAAGAGAATCACAGTATGAAGGGCATGCTGTCCACTGAACTGAAGGTCACAATTTAAGAAAGGAGCCAGCAGCAATATCTGCAGGATTTGAGAGACTGTCTACACAGAGGTAAGGCAAACTAAGCGTTGCTGCTCATGGTTAGTGCAGTGGTCCCCCAACTGCACCCCCACCCCGCCCTTATCCCTGTCCATGCCCCCGCCCAGAAGCCGGGTCTGGGACCAGAGCTGGGCAGTGCCGGTGGGGTCTAGCCTGGGCCCTGCTGCATTCCCCCCCTCCCCTGAACATTCCTCCACACCCCTAGAGGGGCATGCCCCACAGTTTGGGGACCACTGGTCTAGTGTATGATGTAATCTGAAGTATTAAATGCACCCTTCAGCAGCAGCAAAATACAACAATTTCTAGTATCGATGTTAGGACCCCAAATTGACAAATTAAATCACCCAAGTTCATGCAGCATCTGGCAGTCTTCATACTATTAGTTCTTCCCAAAGTCTACTCAGGAAATAAAGTGTCAGAGAGCCATTATTCCAGAAGCCAGGAGAAATAAAAGATTTAAAGAGCATTGTTTGCGCAAGCAGCTTTTCTGGCTTAATGTCTGATCTAACTCCTAACAGAACCCACCTGCACCAACATCAGTCTGCCTGTTTAAAATGCAAATTAGAAGTAAACATTGAGCTACTGCTCCTACCTGTTGACTGCTCTTGGTGGTGTATTCCACTGAGAAGGACACTGACAGATTAGCTATTATGCAGACTTTACCACTCTGATCTTTCACTTCAAATGCTGAAGAGGACATCTGTAAAAACACTGTTAAGAGTGGCAAGTTAGTTTCAAACGAAGTGCTACTTGAAGAAACAATAGGCTATGTCAACAAAACTTGTGTCACTCAAGGTTTTGAAAGTTACACCAACATAAGCGCTCGGGAGTGGAACAATGTCGCTCATGTGCACATCGCTACATCAGTGGGAGAGCCCCTCCCGCAGACACGGCTCCTGCCGCTTGTGGAGGTGGTAGTTTTAGGCTGATGGGCCCGTCAGCATAGAGCACCTTCACCACATGCTTCAACAGCACAGCTGCATTGGCTGCGCGACTGCAGCACTGTATGTATAGACATACCCATACAGTGCTCACTTTAGACCCCAAGAGAAAGGCCAGCACATACAATCTCCAGCTAGTGCAAGAAAAGCTTTAGATAAAAGTCTTGAAGTGACAAGGTACGGTCCGGAGAGTCTATGATGAAAACAGTTTAATCTCTATCTGCAGAGAGATCTGTGGGTGTGTCCTGAAGACACTAGTTAGTACTTCTGTACTTTCAGGGGAAGAAAATACTTTAAATTAGGGCCGTTGATTAATCGCAGTTAACTCATGCGATTAACTCAAAAAAATTAATCATGATAAATCGCAATTTTAATTGTGCTGTTAATAGAATACCAATTGAAATTAAATGTTTTTGGATGTTTTTCTACATTTTGAAATATATTGATTTCAATTACAACACAGAATACAAAGTGTACAGTGCTCACTTTATATTACTTTTGATTACAAATATTTGCATTGTAAAAATGACAAAAGAAATAGTATTTTTCAATTAACCTCATACAAATACTGTAGTGCAATCTCTTTATCGTGAAAGTCCAACCTACAAATGTAGATTTTTGTTACATAACTGCAAACAACAACAAAAAGTAAAACTTTAGAGACTACAAGTCCACACAGTCCTACTTCTTGTTTTTCTTAGCAAATGGCTTAACAAGTTTCTTTACATTTATGGGAAATAATGCTGCCCTCTTCTTATTTACGTCACCTGAAAGTGAGAACAGGTATTCACATGGCACTTCTGTAGCCAGCATTGCAAGGTATTTACGTGCCAGATATGCTATGCCGCTAAACATTCATATGCCGCTTCAACCACCATTCCAGAGGACATGCTTCCATGCTGATGATGCTTGTTTAAAAACATGCGTTAATTAAATTTGTGACTCAGCTCCTTGGAGAATTGCACGTCTCCTGCTCTATGGTTTTACCTGCATTCTGCCGTGTAGTGTGTGTTATGGTAGTCTAGGATGAGAACCCAGCACGTTTGATTTAAGAACACTTACACAGCAGATTTGACAAAACACAAAGGCAGCTTGAATATCAGATTTCTAAAGCTGGCTACAGCACTCAACCCAAGGTTTAAGAATCTGAAGTGCCCTCCAAAATCTGAGAGGGATGAGTGTGGAGCATTCAGAAGTCTTAAAAGAGCAACACTCTGATGCGGAAACTACAGAACCCGAACCACCAAAAAAGAAAATCAACCATCTGCTGGTGGCATCTGACTCAAATGATGAAAATGAACATGCATCTATCCACTCTGCTTTGGATCGTTGTTCAGCAGAACCTGTCATCAGCATGGATGCATATCCTCTGGAATGGTGGTTGAAGCATGAAGGGACATATGAATCTTTAGCGCATCTGGCATGTAAACATCTTGCAATACAGGCTACAACAATGTCATACAAATGCCTGTTTTCACTTTCAGCAGCATTATCTCCTGCAAATGCAAAACAAATTATTTGTCTGAGCGATTGGCTGAACAAGAAATAGGACTGGGCGGACTTGCAGGCTCTAAAGTTTTATATTGAATTCAAAAATAAAACAGTGTTTTGTTTTATACAATTCTACATTTGTAAGTTCAACTTTCATGATAAAGAGATTACACTACAGTACTTGTATTAGGTGAATTGAAAAATAATATTTATTTTGCTGTTTTACAGTGCTAATACTTATAATCAATAATATAAAGTGAGCACTGTACACTTGGTATTCTGTGTTGTAACTGAAATCAATATATTTGAAAATGTAGAAAACATACCATTTATTTAAAGAAATGGTATTCTATTGTTTAACTGTGCGATTAATCGCATAATTAATGACGATTAATGTTTTTAATCACTTGACAGCCCTACTTTAAATCTTCCATGTGGAAGCCATCTCTCCCATTATCTTAGTACAGAATGCCTTTTTAAGCTACCAATGGTCAGTTTCCCATTCCACTGCCTTTAGTAGTGGAAACAAATATTTTTCCCAATACATGTCAGTCTGGCCCTCACCTGGAGCACTGGAGCAGCTGACACACACAAAAGTCAGTGCTAAAATGGGTAAGAGTTGTTGGTTAGTTAGTAAAAGGGCAGGAGGATAGGAATGACACCTGCCTTCCCCCACACTACTCATGAAGAATCCTCTCATTCTCAATTTACCAACCCAGAAGCCCTTGACAAAAAACAATCTGTCACTCTCCTTCCCTTCCCCATACATGATGGGAAAGAGTTGTGGGGATAAAGCCAGGCACCTACACACAGCCAAGCAGCAATCTGATTCCATCTCACCAGTATGACTATTTTGCAAGTGTCATCAACATGACTTGGCACACAGTCAGGATTAGCAGGGTGAAGGACACTGTTTAGTTGCCTTTTGATCACACCGAATATTGATAGTTTTTGTAAGCTGTGTTTATATTTCAGGATCTTCATTATTCCATGATTCCACAATCAGGGTTCATCACAAAACACACACTTTGAGGTAGTACCTAAACCTTTGTGATTTTGACAGTAGCACTGCACTGGGCTCACATTTTACTCCTGGGGGAATTCGGAACCTAAAAAATTTAAAAATTCTGTGCGTGTTTTAAAATTCTGCATATTTTGTCAAAACACTACCAAAATAATTGAAACTGGCACGATTACATAACTTATTTCAAAATATCTGTCAGCAACTATGTCTAACAATATAGACAAAAAAATTCCTCCAGGAGTAGAGCATTAAAGAAATCTGTTTCTCTGCCTCCTCCCCCTCAGAGCCCCATGGGGGGGGGGCAGGCACATACCTGTACCCCCTAACCCCCAGCCCAGACACTTGTACCTCCTCCTACCCCAGAGCCCAGCTGCAGGGCCCACCACAGTCTAGACACCCACACCCCCTCCCCACCACAGCCCAACTGTGGGGATTACCCCCCCATGCCCCTTCCTCCCCCAAAGCACTGCCACCAGGCCTCCCCCTGCCCAGAAACCTGCACCCCATATCCCCCAGAGCCCATCCACGGGGCCTCCCTCAGGCTAGTCACCCACACCGCCTAACCCCCAGGGATCCACAGGGAGAAACAGCCCGATGCTGTGTCCTGGGTTTGTACTAAGTTTCCTGCATGCTGCCTCCTTCCTTCAGGGCAGGCAAGGAACTACAGCTCCCAGGAACCCTCCAGCTGTGTCTTCTATTTGCGAGCTGGGTCCAGCAGCCCCTAGTGGCGGCCAGCAGCTCTGTAGCCCTTTTCGGTGGGAGAAAAAGGAAATTCTGCATCCACAATATTAATTTCTGCACAAATTCTGTATACACAGTGGCACAGAATTTCCTCAGGAGTAACATTTGCAACATTATCTCCCCAACATTGCGGATATTCTGAAATGGATGCAGCCCTTAACACTGAAGCCAGACGACCAATTAACTAGTCAACTGCTGACTGTAGCAGAAACATCCAGCAAGTGGGCTTGTTCATAATTTTGGGGTGTGGCCAGATGTTTCTATGAAAGAAGTCAGAGTGAGGCATATGAATTCCAGCTTCAGAGTTTTAGTCACTTCTGACCCAGTCAACACGGAATCCATTGCCTCCCCCAGTATCAAAAGCTTCCTGGGTACCAAAAAAATAAACTGCTTCCTCACTTTCCTAAATACCAAAAGAGCCAGCTATCCAAATCCAGCTTTCCCTAATAGCCAGGATGCAGGTTTGTGCACCAGATTTTTTTCTCCTCATAGTTAAGCGTGTTGAAAAGCTGGGGGCTGCTTCAAATAAGCTGACTAAAAACCAGGAATACTGGATTGTTTCCACACTTGAATTAAAAAGCTTCCATTAAAAAAAAAATTGGAATCTGTCAGATATTTCAGTTTTCTACACGGGAGTGCTAAAAGAGAGCAAGGAGTCTTGCCACAGGATTTAGGTCCAGCTTGCTAGAGAGTACCCAGGGTTTTATCATATTAAAAGCCAGATCCTTAGCTGGTAGAATTCAGGGCAGCTCTGCAGCTGGTTGAGAAGTGCCAATTTTTCCATAGGATTGTGTGTGTGTCTTTACAGGGAACTT